ACTTGTAATTTGGCGCCGATAATCAATGAATCAGCTGCATATGAGAGTCGACCCGGCAAGGACGAACTTTTTCATTTGAAAGTAATGAAAGACATTCTGCCGCGAAAGTACAAAGTGAGGGTGCGCCGCGAGTAACAAATAACGAATAAGGAATGCCCCGCCCCTCCCAGGACACTTCAGAATGTTCATCTGCACCACACATTCAATTTGAGGAGCAGCAAAAATGTGATAAGATTTATGGAGCATCTTCAAAAGGGAGCAGCCGGGAAGGAGGCGAGGTGAGGCCAGGATCCCTGCTGTTTTCCAAGCGTGAATCCCATAAAACAGACAGTGACAGCAACATTGCGTTGAGAGCGGCAACGTCAACGCCATTTTACATTACGCAAGCACGCCAGCCATAAGGAACTACACACAACCGGAAGACACTGGCCAAAAATTTTGATCTTCAACATTAAATAATCTTTAATGACAGTTTTAAAGGGTTTAAAAATACTCTAGAATTCTAAAATATTATTCTTAAAATGTTTTTATAAGCAAATTAGAAAATGTTTGATTTAATTAAAAGTTTTTTTTAATGCATTTTATCCGTATATTCGTTTAAAAAATATTTTTAATAACAAGCACAAAGATCTTGTCACAGACAAAGTATACAATTTCTGCTTAAATCCTTTGTAAACTCTAGAGCCACAAAACCAGCAGTTCCGTTAACTTGACAGTTAACTGGAGAGCAACTCAAAGTTCAATAAACACAAATCAAGACTTTATTAAATATATTGATCATACACATATCATATTACTATATAAATTTAAACTTCTGTAATTTCAAAATTCTGTCGATTGGGAAACCCATTTTTCAGTGGTAATTTTTTTACGCAATGAAGCAACAGCAGTCTCAAATTCAAATGCCAGGACCTACAAGTGTGTTTTCATTTCAACACTGCTCTCTGCGCTGTCACAATCAGCGTCACAGTCGCACAAGGAGAATTGCGTATAAATTTGTTGGGATTGAATTTGAAGGAGTGCGGGACGCAACGAAGCAGGTCCTGCGTGTCCTTTTCACCATTTCCTGCTTTAGTTGCCCGCTCTCGTGACACCCGACAGATATACTCGCCTCCCATCCCGATTAAAGGGCTCGGAGCAGCCACATTGCGGCCACGAGGCGACTTATTAGGAGGCCGCAATGTGTTGACAGGCCCGGCAATCAAATAACAAAGTTTTACTCCTCCCAATGCCCCCCAACCGTTCCGTCCGAGCAAACTTTAGTTTTGATGTACGAGTCCGTATGTTATTGTGCCGCAGCATCCGTCACGACAGCCATCAGCCAGCAGCCATTAGCCGGCGGCGTTAACTGCAGCACGTAAAGTGCTTAATCGGCTGGCAAGGAGAGACTATGGGATGACACGAGTCCTGGGGTGAGCCCTGAGAAAAGATCCTGCGACACACATAACCGCTTGGCTACGCACGAGTTCATTTGTTGTTCTGTCAAAACGCTTAATTGATTTAAGCGACACAATGAGACACACGCGCTGAATAAATACAATTGCCCAAAACACGCACCGCTGTCTGTGAACTTTAATAAAATGTAACATAATAATGTGTAGTTTTCTCAGAACAAGTTGCCTTGACATGACATTAAAGGGGAGTAGCTTCCAGGTAACTTTAATTGTTTGGGGGTAATTTCTTGAGCACAATTTGATAAACTATGCCTTTGAGGGATTTACTTTTATGGAAGCTTAAATTATTTTGTTGTTGTTTACATTTTGAAGTTTTATTTACTTGGTTTTCTGCCAAGCAAACTGCATTCCAGCTTTAATAAATCCCCCGATTGGTATGTTTATTTACATTTTCTTGCCAACGAAATATTCTAGGCATAAAAAATGGAATTTGAAAACCATCCGACAGCAGGAAACCTTTATAAATTCTTCTAGATTATTGCCTGAAAACATTAAGGAGAGGTCACCCGGACGAAGCAAATCCTTTGAGAAAATCATAAAAAAGAAAATGGATTTGTAAGCATTTTCCAAGACATCCTCGTCTGCATTCTGTGCTCAAGCCAAAGTTTATGTTTGCAATATTCATGGCGAGACAGGCGGAAATACCTAGACAACCCGCAAGATGCAGCCGGAAACTTGTTAAGCTGAGTCAAGAATAGTGTCGGGCAATGGAAACAACGAGCTCTTGTATTCAAATTTAAAATGTTGCAAACGGGAGTGGCAGAGTGATTTATGAAATCTACTACTCTTTGTTACCCTTTGTTTATTTGTTTTTTATTTTCTGTATGCGTATCTGCTTTTTGCCAAAGCCAAAGCAAAGAGATAAATGGGGCAAAAAGTTATTATTCAAGTCACTAGTTAGCCACAAGCCAGGAGGCAAGGGAGAAAAAAGAAACAGAGATACATATGTAAAGTCCCTGCCCAAGTCGAGAGGAGTGTCCACATGATGTTTACTTTTGAAGACAAAGTGCAAAGTTCTACAAAATGGCCACGTGTGTGGCTTTTTTTCTTGGTTAAAGTTTGTTGGCCGCCGGAGACCCGATGGCCAGGATTCCGATTCTTCGATCTGCTCTCCTTTGTGGTGGCGTGCCCATGACAATGGCTTACTCGTTAAATATTTATTTATGTTTTTGGCACTGTGAAGCGAGAAATCAACAAGTCCTGGGTCCTGGTCCCGGTTCTGTCGCCCTCCCGGGGCTGTGACCTTCGATGTTTGGGGGTCTCAAGTGCCGCAGGGGGTCGAAATCGAAATCGAATCGAATCGAAACAAAGGAACTCGAGCGAGGAGCTTTATGGCCCAGTATATTGAATTGCCATTTGACTGCCGCTAAATGCAGTTTAAGCCAAGATAACCGCGAGCTGCCATAAAACGGGATCCAGGTAATCTCCCCAGGACTCGTGACTTCCTGCTCCAATTCCCACCCGACAGTATTAAATTAAAAACCCCATCAAGGGCATTAATATTAATGCGACGTTTTATGTCAATTTATAACAATTTACTAAGCCCTCGTGCAACTTGCATTTTAAAACGAATAACTGTCGTACCCAACTCACCGCAACCGCCGAGGAAGACATAAAGTTAAGCCCCAATATTTTACCAGAAATAAGCAGTGTAATGCTGGGTTAAAACGAATGTCGTAGACTCACCGGGCCATAATAAAACTTGGCTAAACAAAGTCGCCCAGAAATAAAACAGCTTAAAGGATACAACACGTACATACATACGAAGGCCCAGTCGGGGGTAAATAAAAAAGTCCTGAGTGTCCACTAGAACGGAAATCATTAATAATAGAAACGCTCGTCATATTTTGCTTTAATGAAAAGACTCATTATAGTTTAATAGCCAGGCCATGAACCGAACAATAAATGAAGTTACATGCCATAATGCGCTCTTACATATGAATAGCTTCGCTTCAAAGCACAACAACAGCTCGGCAAATATGGCTGCTTCATGTTGCCATGGCGACCGTGACAAATAAGCTTGTTTTTTGCTTAAAACTGGAAGTGACCGAAACATTAAATGCCCATCAGAAACTAAGATGGGAGTATATGTTGTAAATAAATATTATCAATCCGGAAGCTATTACAATCACGAGTGAACCACGAATAACCGAAGGACACTTTTTAAACAACTTCCACCAAAGCTCACGCGTAGATGCGGAAGTACTTTACTCACTATATCCCAGATTTCCTTGGTAACTATACTGATAAAAATGCTCACCTTAAATTACTCTATAACAACCACTTTTCAGTCGTATATTTAAAAATGGAGCCAAAGGTAAGTCACCCTAGATTTCATAAGAATTTGCCCTAAAATCTGAAATCTAGAGCTATTTTTCTTGAATATAGAACATTTTTGTTGTATTTAAAGCGATTTGCTTTGAAAAAGTTTTCTTTAATTAAAGGTGTTTTTTTTTTACATTTAATAAGATTTTAGTTTTAGGGCTGCACAACTTATGTACAAAATATACATTGCCAACAGCAGTTTAGTCAAAGACTTTAAAACTTTAGCTTTCAGGGGCAAGTTTTAAAACTTTGGGCCCTCCCACAAGTCACAACTAGCAAACATAATACACCGCGGGCTCGAGCTCTGCCATGTTTAAGTTTTAAAAGGTGAGTCCTTTCACGGAAATGGCAATCCTAATTGGTTTTAATTTCAGCTGCAACCCCACTGGGGGCTATTTGCAATGCAATGCAACATAGTTATGAGTTGGTTTACAAGCAGCTTAATTTCAGAGGGAGATTATTTTGTAAAGGCAACTCTAAAAATAACTAAAATGCTAAATGGAACCGTATAGTAGTCAACTAATGACTAATTCCAAAATATACAATATACGAAAATATTTCATTAAAAATAAACTGTCTTAAAATATCTACAGAGCCAGAGACTTAACCCTTTTAAGGCCACAAAGCTTAATAATACGATAAAAGAATTTACTTCTTAGCCGAACTTCTGTCCTTACCAAAAATAGGCATGTCTTGCGGAAAATAATAAAAATCAAAAGTTACAGGGACACACTTGGGAGAAGTGCCATTTGCTGAAGCAAAAGGTTAAACTTTAAGTTCTTGTTTGTTTAACTTTTACGTGGATTCACCTCCACCCCAACCTTTAAGGCCACCCGCAACCTAGCTACAACTGAGCAACTACGTACAACTCGAACATGTTGCAACCGATTTAAGGTTACAAGGTATATACATACATATATTTTATGGTTTCCAACACAGGAAACCATTATGAATAATTTGGTGGATAAGAAAATAGCGAGCTCTCATATTAAGTTGGGCAACTCGAGACCAACAAGGACTATATTCTATATTTTAAAGCTTTCAGAGAAAAATATACATTTTAGATGGAAAAAATTGTTTAAAAAGTTGAATATTATTAAAGTATTTATATTTCTCATGGTAAGCTCTTAGGCTGATAATTTCAAACCTTTCGTAATCAACGTTAACAAATGTTATCACACCTCTCTCTCTCAATAAAAAAAAAAGTGTAATAAAAAGCCATTTAAAAATTATTTGCACTGTATTTAAATACGATTTAAACTCGATTGCAAGGACAATGTTTATATTGACAACGCAGAGGCGGACTTAGATGATACTCCAATTCCAAATCCTTTCCTGATTCCTCTGCGCTGCCAGTGCCTCTGCGCTGCCAGTGCCTCTGTGCGTTCCGTGTGTCGACGGTGTCCCTTAACGTATGTACATGGGTGGTACTTCTAGGAGATAAGATACTCGTACGCCCAACAATAGCGTGGTGAGTGTGAGTGTCGGTAGGTGTAGTATAAGTAAGTAAAATACAATAGATCCCATCCGATCCTACGAGTAGAAGGTCAGCACGCTCGTCTGGTTGCCGCGCACAAACAGGAACGGCGGCATGTCCCGACTGAGGCTCTCCAGCCAGGCCATGTACAGAGGCGCAGAGACGATGTTCTTGCGGGGCATGGGAAGGGTCATCACGACCAGGTCGGACTTGGTTGACTGTTCCCGCAGGTATTCCCGCAGGCGTAGGTAGCGATTCGTCTTGTCCTGTACTGCCAGCAGATCATCGTCGGTAATCAGAGCTGTAAGAGAGCAGGAAAAATATGTTAAAATTGTTTTTATTATAAATTTTTAGAAAAAAAATATACTTCTTTTTAAAATCGATTAAAGACTCTGCACAACATTTACTGCATACTTTCAGGCAATTACGTTTACTTAAAATCTTAGTGATTTTCCTAAGAATTTTATTATATTTTTAAATGCAAGTATAACCATAATAGAAGGAATTTGCCTCAAAGACTTACCATCATCCTCGTTCAGGGTCGCCCTGCTGCTGTTGCCATTCTCGTTCTCCTTGTCCGCCACCACAAAGTCCTTGATCAGCTCGTTAAAGAACTGCGTGGACGTTTCCAGCGGCTTCTTTGTTATGTCCGGTATAAGCGTCAGGTCGGAGTAATCTATCCTGAATTTGGACAGCAAACTGGCCATCGAACGCTGCTCGAACTCCAGCTCTGCCTTTTTGTTGGCCAAAGCATAAACCCTGAGGGCGGAAAAGGAAACACGGAAAGGTTAGTTTGTCTTTTAAAGTGCACAATATTGAAGGTCACTCTTTTGCTCTTGGACACAAGAGTACAGGCTAAATTGCAGATTTTTCTTTGAGGGCATCTCATGCTGGTCAACAAATATGGATTGTCAGACATTCACGTATATAACTGGATAATTTCCACTTAAACATGCATCCCTTTTTAGAGTGCTTTTAGAATTTCACATGACTAAACCTCAAAATGCTAAATTTAATACAAATTTTATTGCGCTAAATTTATATGTAATTATATGTAAACGTTAAATTTTCACCTGTCCCAAAACTAACATACAAAAATATTCTATTTGAATTTTGAAATTATAAACTTGAAATGATGCGGAAAATTACTGACTATTGATAAGCCTTCTGATGGCTGTTTCCAATGAAAGTTTAATTTTTAAAATTTATTTAGGGTAATTGGAAAGCAAAATTAGCAGTGTGAGTAGTCCCCGTGGGAGAAAATCCCTAACGCAAAATTTCCCATAAATAAAAACATCTGCTATCGGTGCTACCCGCTGGATACCTCCCCATTCGACCTTGAGGCACTAATCAACAGCGAAAAATCTGCACTTTGGCGGCGGAGCAAAACACAGCTGGAAATTCTTCGGGTGAAAATCACCTGCGGTGGCTTTTACTCGTTAGCCAGAAGCCCAGCGATAAAGCAGGCAACACCAGAATTCCGCAGTAATTCGCGATACGAGTTAGCTTACCTCAATTTGCAGGACTGCCAGGTGCGTCGAGTGCTGATGATATAAGGCAGCAGGAGGGTGAGGCCTCCGTCATCGTACAGCCACCAGACATCGATAACGGCATGGCTGCGCTTTCGCGTGAACTGGGTGAGGTCCGAGAGGACTTCCTTGGGCAACTCGGCGCCGCCAGGACCCTTGTACAGGGAGGCGGGATCGTCGTGCTTCAGCTTGGACTTGCGCAGCGAGTTGGTCTGTGGAATGCAGATTTTCCATTATAAGTAAAAAATATTTCGCATAGTATATTTCCAATTAACTTACCACCAGATTAGCTGATTTGGCGTCCAGAGGATCGGGCATTCCGGACACATCCTTCGACTGATTGCCCGCAATGAACGACAGGTCGCTTGTGCTGGAGGCTAAATCGTGCATACGAGGGAAAATTTAATGCGAGAGTTTCAAAACAGAAACAAGGACCAAAAATACTGGGACACAGCCACAACATTTCATTCCGGACATGCAAAGACAACAAAGCTAACACAAAGCTGCAGCTCAACAGCTTTTCAATTTTGCAAAATATATATATCGACGCATTTTTGCGAAAGTATCGTATGTCGCTTTTTTTCGAAATTGAGATTTTAATGCAAAATTGTTAGGCACCTAATGTCTCACTACCCTGTGAAATATTATAACTGAAAACCCTATAGTTCCGATAAAAATTAAGTTTCAATTTTGTCTTTTCTATAGTGCTTCCTAAGAGATTAAAGCACAAAAAAGCTTCTCCTGTAAAATTGGATTTTTCGACATACGATACTTTCGCGAAAATGCGTCGATATGTACATACATACAGATATTTAAAACAAACAACCCGAGGACCCCCGAGGCCACGTGTGCCCGACTCGAAATGCCAAAAACCAATTCCCCGCCCTAGCTGGCTGGCTGGACATTGTACGAGTATAATTTAAAATTCAAATTTACGAGCATTGCATTAATTTCCAGGCAGCAGATTGCCGGAAAAAGGTTGTACACAGATGCTGGGGAAATCCGGATAGCCCCAACTTGGCCAGAACTTGGGGTTAGTTTGCCTGTTAAATATCGTCAATTTGCTGGAAAGTTTATGGCTTTGATTGGCATGCCTTCATGCAGCTGACATGCGTGGTAGTCTTGTGGGACTTTTTTGAGTGCTTGTGGCATCTGCGTGTGGTTCATTCATATTCATATTTACCTACTCAGCCTACAACAACTTCACATTCCATTCAAGTACTCTAAGACACGCAAGAATCTGGTCACAAAAAACACAACTTCACCTGCACCGGCACCTGGCCAGGAGCGCATTCTCCGCAGGCCCTGCTTGAAGCGTACTGCGCCAAATTCCCGGAAGAAATAATATTGAAAGGTGGGTTGTGGGATAGGGTTTAGGGTAAGGTTCAGGGTTGGGTGGACCTTCTGTTTAATGTTTAAAGGATTTTCGTCTTCTTTGATTTTCTACGAAAGGATGTATATAGGTTTTTAAGGCAAATCAGAAAAGGAATCATTACTTTTCAATTATTCATTAACTTAAGAAACCTATCTTTTCATCTAATTCTGTATCTATCTACCAAAGGTCCACCCTTTGGCTCACCTTTACCACTTAAGCCCGGCATGCTACTTACATTTGACTATCTTGAGGCTGTTCTGCTCGCTGTGGAGCAGCTCGTTGCGGTTGCGGTCCTCTACGGGATTGCAATCGTAGTGCAGATGGTGCGATTTGATTGTGTGGTTAGGCAGGTGCGGATTTAGGGGGAATTTCAGGTGGAGAGAGAGACACATGCAAGATATAATCAGAATTATAATTTCCCATAATGGTTATTCAGCGGTCTGGCTCCGGCCGGATTGCAGCTCACCCTTACCTTGCGAGACATTGCGACTCAGAGAGTCAATGCTGCCTCCTAAACCGTTGCGGGCACTACTGTCCACCGCCTGCAGGTCACCTGAACTCTCGTTCGGCTGCAGGGTTCTTGGGACATCGGCCACCGTCTTCCAGCCATCCTGAGAGCCCAGCAGCTGGGAGCAGTCCAAGCCCTGCGGAACCCGGAGAATGGCCACCGACAGGTACATGTCCAGGGCCTTGTGCATCACATTGAAATATTGCTCCAGCTCCTTGTGCTCGCACGTCTGCCAGTCAGTCTTGTAGCCCATCAGGATGATGTTCGGCTTGAGCTTTCCGATGCCGGAGGCCTGCATCAAGGCCCTAGTGCCCGACTCAAAGTCCTCGCCATCCACCAACGCGTAGAAGCCCTTCACACGGTGCTTGCGGAACCAGTTGGCCGCCCGCTCCTGCAGATATGTTCGGTACTTCTGGGAGCTGGAGCCCCGGAGCACGTGGCCACACACCAGCAGCGATAGGTTCTTTGTGAGCATGTAGGCCAGATCCACGAGAACAGGCCTGGTGTTGGGCAGGCCCGATAGGACCAGGATCTGTGGTCGGTAGTTCTTCACGTGTTCCTCCACATTATTCAGCTGCTGCACTGACATCAGCGCGTTTTTGTAGGTCTGCGCCTGCGTGGTGGATCCCCAGTTGACGTCCGGCTTCCTGTAGGCCACGATTAAGTACAGCGCCAGCACCACGGCAAAGGTGATCAGGGCGGTGGCCCACGAGATCAGGAACATGACCGCCACGCAAAGAGCGGCGCCCAGCAGACTCAGCCACATGTTGTAATACTGAAAAGGTGATTTGGATCAGGGGATGACCTACATAATGGCTATTTCTAACTCACCTTAAAGGTCGGACGCCAGCCCACCGGCTTGGCCAGGCTGGCATGGAAGGTACTGAAGTTGATCAACATGTAAGCGGCCAGGAAGAAGTTCGAGATGAGCGGGGCTATCAGGTTCAGTTCGCCGATCAAAATGAAGCTGGAAAGGTAAGATAATCATATAAAAAAATTAAAATATTATTATTTAAATTATTATTTATTTAAAGACTTTTTTAAATAGTATTAAATATATTATAAATACTTACGCCGAAGCAATAATAAAGGTCAGCACATAACCACGAACTGGCTCATTGTTCTTGCCATAGCCCTTGGCAAACCAAACAATCTTTGGATACAGCTCGTCCTTACACAAAGCCTTAAAAAAATGAAACCCACTTAATTTTATAATTAATATTAATTTATAATCCTTTCTCACCTGAAATACTTTGGGAGCTGAAACCAAACTGGCCAGGGCCGAGGACAAAGTGGCAGCAAAGCAGCCAGCATAAATCAGGGGACCAAAGCCAGAGACCAGTTCAATAACCTGAAAGGAGTTTTGTAGCCCAAAGGCGCATTCACCTGGAAAGTTTGAAAGCCAAATATTTTATAATCCTAACGAAGTTCAATCAATTTCTAAGATTTCTTACCAGGCTGGCAGTTAAGGAATGCAAATGAGCCATTGACAACATCCGTCAGATTTCCAGTGGCATCGCGAGCCACTGTGGCACCGCATTGCAGGACCATAATTAAATAGGTGCCTGTGGTGATGATGATAGCAAGGATTGTGCCTTTTGGAATGGATTTTTGGGGGTCCTAAAAAAAAAGTTATTATTCTCGAACTTATATTTCTCTATTTTATATTTAAGAACCTCTAAAAACAATAAAGGCAAAAACTTGATCAAAACTAATATTCACCTTTAAATCACCGGAGATATTGGCTCCTGCCAAAATACCCGTGGCCGCTGGGAAGAAAATGGCAAATACTGAGAAGAAATCATGCTGGATGCCGCCCTTTTCCGGACGATAGTCCGCAAATAGATTATTTTTAAATGTAGTGGCTGAAAAAGAATACCAATTGTAATCACAAATCGTAGTTACAAATTATACTGACTCACCGTTGTAGCCCAGAAATCCCTTGGCCAGTTCCAGATCACTCTTTGGCCCGATAAAGCTGCCAATGACAAAGTCGGCAATGGCCACCAGCAGGATGATTAGTAATCCGATTTGCGCCTGTCAGGAGGAAGCCCATTAATTACACAAATACTCGTTATGATGCAAATTCAGTAAACATACCTTGGCCTCCCACTCCATGCCGACGACGACTATAATCAGGAGCAGTAGGATGGTTACGCAACCGATAATGCGCACGTCCTGGACGCCGCCATCAACGATCGACCATTCAAAGGCCGTCATCATGGCCAGCATCGACTCGCAAAAGCCCACCACATACATGGCACAGGCCACAGCGTTCGCCAGCGAGAAAATCAGACCGATGGAGCCACCAAATTCCGGGCCCAGCGACCGGGATATCATGTAGTAGGTGCCACCTAGTGGGTGTAGAGTGTGTGTCATAAAACCACTTAGAGCCATTTAAAAGCGACCACAAGGGGCCGTGGGTGTGGGAGTGGGAGTGGGAGTGGGACTCACCTCCTTTGATGACACCATTAGTGCTTATCGCCGACATCGACAAGGCTGTGATGGTAGTGACAGCGGTCGTTGTCAGTATTAATACGAAGCCCTCGATGACGCCCGCCTGACCCACCACCCAGCTGAGCCGAAGGAACAGCATCACGCCCCAGATGTTTAGCAGGCAGCGGATGAGCACACCTTTGATCCAGCCGAATTTCAAGATGCCATTCATGATGCCCGACTCTGGGTCCTGATTGCGCGTCAAGCTGTGCGTATTCTGTGGGTGCACCGGTAAAAAATCAAGGATCATAGTAAAGCTAAATTTATATAAATTCTAAAAATATTAGTAATGAAAACATTAATACACAAAATATTTGAAAAAAGTTCTATGCATATTGTTCTGGCAGAGTCCGGGCAGGCATATTTCAATTAATTTCTTGTATTTTTTCTAAGTTTCTATCTCAGTGTATGTATAGACCTCAAGCACAAAGGGTATGAGTGCTTGAGAAAATTTCAATAAAGCTGTCTAGTGTTGATAAATGATTCGGCAAACAGCCGCAGCCTGCAGGTGGGGTAAATATCTGTCTATTCTATACGTAATTTTGGGTCACAAAGGAAACAGGGAGGTTTAAAGGCTCTCTCTCTTTTCTTTTGCCAAGCCTAACAAAAAAAAAATCCCCACAGGGAAATAGATGACTTCAGCCACCGGGAATTTCGACAAGAGACCCCCCGTCATGACATTATTAATAGATTAATCATACGCCCCCGAAACCGCAGCACCCGTGGAGCCAATTGAACCCGTGAACCTTGCACTTTTTAACGAGACCCTGTCTTAATTGCTTATTATTACAAGATGCCCAGTTGACATTGAGAGCGAGCTCTGGCCTTAGTATATAAAAAAGTATGCTTAATTAATACACCAAGTCTTGCTCAGCATTAAATGCACAACAAACAAAACAATGAGAATTTCTCATCAAGTTGCATCATGGATTATATTTTGGAATTGTGCAAGGCATCCATTTCTCAACGCAGCCCATAACAATTTATTTGCTCTTATTGACAGTCATTCGGTGAGCCAATTGTGGATCCAAAGACGTAAACAATTAGGCGAAAGAGTGTGGAAATCAATTAGCGTCAATTGGTGGCGTTGCACTTGTTCTTTAAACTTTGGAAAACTTTGCAAAGTGATTCATGGAGAAGAGCTTAAAAGTGAAAAGTCAAACGAAAAGTCACTGGACCCTGCGCTACATAGTCAAATTTAATGGGTAAAGTCTGCCGAAGAGTACTACATTTTCTGTGCTGATTATATTGCATTTGACAAGCAATTTTCCAGGGACTTTCCCGGGATTTCCCTCGATGGCTGCAGTGCCAACGACCAGCCAATTTGACTCCTGGCAGGATTCACAGTCACGCTCATGTGCCTGCGACGCCAATGCCTTTTCGTTTGAGCCGGGGCGACACTTTGTCGGAGAGCGATTGACACTGCCGGGTCCGGGTCACTTCACGGGTTACGGGTTACGGGCTACGGGTACATATTGAATATTCCCGAATTTTCGTGGGGGGATTTTAAGAATAAATTTAAATTTAACTGCGACCCCGCCTGAAAAGCGTAAAGCACCGAGTATTGTTATTTTATGGGCCCTGCGAAATTGTAATTTGTGGCCCTTGGCATTTACGACCCAAGCGTTAATATCCATTTAGTTGACCCGCTCACAGACCCGGTCCCGGTCAGGATCTTGATCCGGATGAGGAGAAGGATGAGGGAAGTCAGACTTACCTTGCCCACCAACGTGGCATTGTGCAGCTCGTCGAGCGTTGGACGGTAGGCCGCTTGGATGGACATCATGTTGCGGTAGTTGTCAAGGCGGGGTAACGCCTCCCGCGTGAAATGCCTGGGGGGATTCAGATGGGGTTTAATCTGGCAGATTCGACAAGGCAGCAAAAGAGTACACAGAGAAAAAATTATTCCAAAACTCATTGCGAAATAAGAATTAACTAAAGTTTGTTAAGATCCTTGACTTATTATCAAAATTCTTTTTGAGAGGTTGTAAGAGGCCTCCAAGAAGCTTTTAGGTTTATTTTCTAAAAAGGTGTTTAATTTTTTCTCTGTGTAAAAAGGACAGAAGAAATGCAAACTGACCGGAAACTTTTACCATATTTTGTGTCATACTCGTTGTCCAGCAGCTCGCGCTCCTCCTGCGAGTCGTTGGACTCGTCGGACTCCTCATTTTGCGGGTCCACCTGGAAGCGGGTTGTCGTCTGTAGATCCTTGAACCTTGACGGCTTATCCTTGTCGCGGAAGCTGCTCTTGATGGATTGCCTGCCATGCAAAAAACAAACAAAAAAAAAACAAAAGGACATGCTCATTATTCTTACAAAACTCACAGTTATCCCAGGCCCACGCTCCACGTTTCCACATGGTTACCACTTTAATTGGGCGAATTGCACAAAGGCTCTCAAATTAGATAAAAAGCCAATCGACTTGACACGTCCAGTGAACAGGGATTCAATTTTAAACCCAATAGCTTTCATTATCAGCCAATTCTGTTCAACGGAACTCAATTGAATTTATTTCGATTTAGTTGTGCGCTCGTCCTCGAACACAAACTTGCACTTTCTGATTGCCACTCATTGTGCGGGGGCCCCAGATGCTGCTTGGATGCCAGGATGTTAGTCTGCCAGGACAGCAGTCTAGCAAAGAGCAGACGGCCCCAGGACACGCCCACGCGCCTAGAAGGCCGTTCAACTACGCCACCTCGCACTTATTCCCCTCGGATTTCTGGGGGTCGAGCGTTGTGCCTTTAGCACCGATAATGTGTTGCATGGCTGAGCTCATGACATCCTGGCTCGGCGTCTCGGCATCCTGACAAACCGACACCCTGCTGGTTGCACCAGCTAACCGAGACGAGTTCGAGATCCTTGGTACTAAAACCAGCATCAACTTAGGTACTTATTGGGTTGAAAAGAGCAAGAGGGCAAAGGTTAACAGTAAAGGTATTTTTGATATTCTAACTGACTTTTTTTTGGAAAATGTGTTACCTACTGGTTTTAGTATTCTTCCAGGACTAATTTAATTGATCTTTGGTGGTGGAACTAGTAACTACTAACCACTTTTTCAATTAAAGCTAATATGTGTACTTGTTATTTATCATATAAAATTATTTTATCCTTTCATTTCATTTTTTCATATTTTTAAAATTTGCTTCGTTTATTTAATTTTTTAAAGGCTGTACCCCAGTTGTAATAATCTTAAAAAAAAACCAGCTGCTAAGAGACCAAGTACCAAGTATCCTTCTGTCGACCTGCGAAGCCTTACTCCACGCTCCTTTCCCAAATTCACCAAACGTCTTTGCTCAATGGCCCCCAGATATTTATATGATATATGCTCCGTTGTCAGCGGGGCAATTTATGTGAGTCTGTGTTGGCTTCGTGGAATGTCTGCTCGCCTCTTTGAATTCCTTGGCAGCCGCGAACGTGGAGAGCAACCATAATGATGATCCAGTCGATTGTATGTCAATGGGATTGATTTAATTTGTGACGCAGCCGCTGGCAGTAAGGCGGAGAAAATCCAGGAATTAATTATCAATCAGTGAATCGCTTAAAACTCAAGGAGGCGCCCCCCTTCAGTAAGCTTATCATTAATTTATGCAGGAACTCTCTCCTTGATGGCTGCCAATTTGAGCCGATTAAAAGGCATTTTTACATGAAACCGCTTTCCTCGTAATCGAAAGACAGTTGCCTTGGCTGCGATATTTGGCAGGCTCCTTAAAGTGGGGTTGGGCTATAAACGAGGCCATAATATTTTCATAAGCCTCATTATCATAATTCGGCTGGGAAACACACAGAAGACGCAGACAGCGGCTACGGCGACCCAATGTCACGCGACATATCGAATTTGCCATTTTATAGTGTCCACGAAGGAGCAGAAGGAGCAGCCATCGAAATCAACAGGACTATGCAAATTGGCTGTCCACTGCCAATGGGGAGCACAAGCGTAAATGATGGTTATTACCACGGTCTGTGATTGGTGGCTTTGTTTGATTTCTGCTGGCGAGTGTTGAACCTTTTTTGCCGGCGAGTGTTGAACCTGCCTCAGGTCGGAAAACTCTTGGCCATTTGATAGATTCGCTGCGATTCGGGTCCGATTCGTTGTGTTTCCCCAGAAACATAATGGATTCCAAAGGAATTTAATCAATTTTGAATGATTGGCCTTGAAGCTGATGGACTGAAAATTACAATTGCCTCAAATGTGGCGTGAATGATTAACCGGCATCGCGTCGAGCCGGCATGTTAGCACTTCGCTCCGCTCGGCTTTTTAAGGATATCAATCTCATCGGCATTGTCGCCGATATTCCAACTTAATAATATTCAAGTTGGGCTCCACTGGGGCCCCTTTAACGCCGTAATTCATTCAAAGGACTCTGCTGGCGTTGCGATAATTCTTAAGGCATTTTCAGGCATTCCGTATCCTCCTTTCGGCGTCAAGTCCTTTGTGGCCGGATGGAACAAGGGCGGAGTGTTAACGCCATAATTAAGAGAGGACAAAATACAGGAGGCGACAAAAGCAATCCTTGTTTTGATGAAACACTAAACAATTACCAGAAAATGAAAAATTCAACAAATTTCCATTCTCCCGGCAGAATAGACAAAGGGAAAAGGTCGGCTAGGACAAGACCGAAAACCGCACCCGTTGTCAACACAAGGTACACTGGAAAATGTATTTCGTTTTCTTGAAATTCTCACTTACATAGAAAGAAAAAAATATATATTTTTAAAGTTATAAATAAATAAATGTAATAATAATTAAAATAATAAAAAGTTTTCCCTTGCTTTAGTTTTCTAAATAATCGAAATTATTCTCTATTACTTTTATTTTAAGTGTACAACTTAAAAGCAGCCACTCTAAGCAACCTTCTGCCGCTTGACCCCTGACCCATTACATCCTATTCCCAACCCCATGGCCACCCATCAGGACTCACCTCTGCTGCCTGGGCTGGTGCTGGTTAAGCATTTGTGTCGCATCAAATGTGTCGTCCTCGAGCAGCTCGCCCTCGGCATTTGTGAGTCGGCGGTAGACCTCGTGCGGCCCATTGTCGTCTCCGGCGCCCCTGTCTCCAGAGCCGGATCCGGATCCGGGTGCGGGTCCAAACCCGTCCTGCGTCTTGCGACTGTTGCCATTAACCGGATTCACTTGGAACCTGTTCGGGGGCCGGTCGGCGGCGGAGCCCAGCTCGAAGGAGATGGTGTCCGACATTTGGATTGTGGCGGCCTGTGTTTGTTTGTCGGGTGTGTAGGTCCTTGCCTGGGGAAGATTTCGCCAAGTCCTGCTGCCTCTGCCTCTGCGGTTTCCGCGTGCGGGTCGGAACTTCTAGGAAACGGATTCAGCGGACCCATCCACTGTGGCTAATTGTGTATATAGGTCCCTTCGTCGGCGCGCTCTCTGTGGGCAAAGGAAAATCGGGACTTCCGTTACTGGCTATTTAAGTGGAGCAGGCGCCTTGCTTAAAGCTATCTGTAAAGAGGCGGGAGAATAAAAAAAGAGGAGACCCATAAATCAAACTGAAGTGAAATCTCATCAAAAGAACTACGGGAATTCGCTGATTCAGCAAGTGTCCCGAGAACGAAAAGGCTTTTTTCTAATGAAAACACACACACACCACACTCGATTATGCATTAAGACGTTTGTGCCTGACCCATGCACACACAATTAAACATAGTTTGGCCATTCCGTTGGGAGTGGAGTGTCCTTTTCTGGAGGACACTGGAATAAAAACATTTTCTTGTTATCCCAGACAAACGAAAATACAACAGAAAGCGTGTCCCTCAAGTTGTCTAAAGTTTGCTCCTTTGGTTGTCTGCCCTGACCAGATGCCAGGACTCCCACAACCCTTTGACCATTGTCGGTTGGCTTGGGTTTTGGTAGCCAGAAGGGGACAGATTTTGCAAAAGAAACAAATAGCCAAATGTTTATTTTTCCACATCGATGTCGAAATAAACTGCTGCCCCAAAAAATATACAACGCTATGCGCTTGAAAGGACAAAAATAAATTTAATTAATTCAATACAATTGCAAATTGTACTCTCTCTGTAATTTTAATACCATCAAAAGGGGAAAATATTTCAAATTAAATACACATAAGTGGGAGAAATTCAATAAAAGTAGAAACAAGTTAAAAAAGTTCAATAAACAAAATGTGTTATAACGCTATGAGAAAATACCTGTTTGATGGATTTTAATATACTAGTATATTTGGTTTTCACATTTAATTTCTTTTAAGCACTTTTCCCTTATTGACTGAATATAATTTTTATATTTCAAAAACAAAGCCAACTAAATTTCTTTAGGATATATTGATAGGCAATGTTTTTATCAGAAAAAAAAGAGAAGAAAAAATAAATGCAAGAGGAAGCAAAGTTTCTGCTTAAAGTAAAAGTTTAATATTAAATATCACGAAATGGGGACACTAAGACGTATAGAATGTCGGAAAATGAAAAAATCAATATTTTATTACCATACTTAGATGTAGCTATTGAAATGGATACGATATCAAGTTCGTGAATCAACCGACTCCTTCTCAGTGAAACATATTTGGAAGGTTTTTGGCCGACTTAAAAGTTCGCCAATAAGTAAAACTCAGATCGACTTTCGCCAAACTTAAGTGTCGCATTTCAGTGACGAAATCCAAATAAGCCATGCTGGCATTCCCTGGAGGCAACGAAAGCGTTTAGTGACGAATGTCTAAAAATAGCTGCGGCCCAAATTGATGCAAATTAATCATGATTAGTCGGCTGATGTGGTTGCCAGGTGGATGCGATGGATGTGTGATGGCATGGGAATCCATGAGTGGCTTCCGACACACACACACCTGGCGCCAAGGGGTTTTTAATGGCGCCTGAACAGGGTAGAAAGGAAATGCGGCAAAGCGGCAAAACGGAAACGGAAGTGGCAAGGAGTTTGCTCGAATTGATGACGATTTGTCACAGTTTTCCCTGCCTACACTTTGTGGGTCAAGTTGAGAGCAACAATAACAACAAGTGCGAATGGCACACAAAGGCGAACAATTAGCATAACAAATGGCAAAATAGCATAATAGGTAAGTCAAACAGAAGCGCCGAAAGAGACCGAGATAAGCAGCGAGAAAGAGACTGCAAAACGCTGGCTAATTACGCCAATTACGCCATTTTTTTACAAAAATTGTGGGAACTTTGCTCAGCTGAGCAGCGCAGAATTTGCACGAATTTATTGCAGCAATTAAGATCTTAATTCAATGAACCCTGTCCCGTTCCCATTCCCATTTGCAGTACCATTCCCTGGCAAAACAGATGTCAAAAGGCAGTTGACAGGCGGCATCCTGGACAGGTGCACTGAAACTCCCAGCTTATCAGCGTGAGACACAAAGGACAACCCAACCCGTTGACCCTTCACCCCGGCAGGCGGCCAATGATAAGCGCAAAAGCTGCCGAGTTAAAAGTTTCGCAGGCGTCAGCTGGCCTTCGACAGATAGCAAACAAGTCCTGGCCCTCTGGGCGAAAAACAGAGAGAGAAATTAGGGTGTCAGCATTAAAAATAAATTAACTTTTACCAGTCTAACATTAAAAATAAATTTAACTTGGCTGGTTTAGCATTCAAAACAAATTTAACTTTGCCAGATATGGTTTATTAATCAATAACTTGCAATTTTATTTTTAAAAACAAAATTTTAATAAACGTTAATCCTTGAAATTTAGTAACGTATGTTCTTCCTAGAAAATAATCTTTACTGTTTCTCTGGGTATCCAGTTGGAGCCACTTCGTAACCACGTTTGCCTGATTTATGACCCCATTTCTGATTAATTGGCCATTTGTGGGGTTGGGTGGCTGGCCAGATCCGGAAAATGAAGCATTTAGCAAACCATTTTCTCCGCTCTTGGCTTTGAATTCGCCGACTGCCTGCCGAAAGGGAAGCACTAACCGGGTGCTGTAAAAAACCTATCTGAATAATAATTGTTGACAATGTCAGCACGGTTGGGGACCCAGTTGTGATTGCCACTGCGATTTCCACTCGCAGGCAATTTCATTTGAAGCGGTGCCCCCGCCCTGCCTTTCATTACTCAATTCCACGCCCATTCGCAATTCAATTGCCACAATAAAATACGATTTTTACAACGTCGGTGGTATTTGGCAACAATTGCATATAAAGCTTGTTCTACGCCCCGAGCCATAAGGCCGAATTAAATGCTTAGATTTAATGGGCCTTTTTCCGCCCGCGGAGTTTTTGAACTCTTTGGAAAACTTGAAGCCCCCCGACTCAATGCTAAATTCCCTCCAACTTCTGGAAAAGCACTTGACATTAAAGTTGCAAGTTGACAGGAAGACAGGAAGATGGGAGGAGAGTAAAAGCGGTTACATATTTTATAAGGCCAAGAAATTCACACTGCCAGCGGCCATCAAATTGTAACTGCCTAGGAATTTTATTGCACGACCTCAATTACAAGATGCCCAGCAAAAAAATAAATAGCAAGAGCAACAACAGCAGCCATAAAACATCAAAACTGGCACGCCGTCAGCAACTAAGAAGGTTACTGCCAGCGACCTAATGACAGGACATCCACATGTCACGTGTTATTCGGTATTGCCATTGCCGATATTGATATCAATCGTTTTTATGCCCCCGATCCAATCCCGAGCGGTAATCAGTGATGTGGCACGCACAAAAAACAAAAAAACTTTCACCGACCAGCTAGCTGACTGATGCCGGCCAGTATCCGTTCATCAGTGGATGACAGGAGGTCATCTGGCAGGACACACACAGGAAAATAAATCAGTGTTGTCAGAAAAAAACACGAAAAAAAGAAGTGGGAAAAATGTAACAAGAAAATGGTATACAACAGGTAAGAGTTTGTATAATTTGGGATTTAATTTTTAAATATGAAAGTTTATAAAAGAAGGAAGTTCTATAGTTTAGTCCTTTTTTCATCGTATTTAAAAATCTTAAGCGGTGAAACCTAAAAGAACTTGGAACTTGTATTATATTTACCTTTACTGATAGAGACATCCTTGAATTTAAACTATAAATATAATAACAGTAGAAGTCTTCCTCTAACAGCTATTAAATAATTACTACTTAGGTTTACAGTCCTTAAATATTAAATAAGAAATCAGCAAATCAATTCCGCCACTTCCTACCATAATTGAATGTTGAAATAAAAATAATATAAGAATTCCATTCCAGATTCCATTTTAATGCCAGCTCATATATCTTCCAAAAAAAGGACAAATGAGCAACACTGGCACATATATCTCTTAGATACGCATCAAAGCGGATTAACAAACCAGGACCCCAAAAAGCAGGGCAGATAACAAGGACTCGGACTAGGACTCTGACCAGGACAAGGGCTGAAGTAGAAGCCATGCCAACAAAGTGTCAAAAACACACAGCAGAAGTTTGAACAAGTCAAGCGTGCTGATCCGCATTGTATTACATTATTGTACGCCCACCGAAACGGCCAAATAAACTAGCAACTAGCTGGCGAAAAGAAAAATAAATAAAAATAAAAATCTGAGAGAAAGAAAAACTAAGCAGAGCAAAAAGGAAAATGCGAGAAAAATGCAAAGTAGCTTAGAGCGGGAGGCGTTCACATCCTCATCCTCATCAACGGACAGATGGACCCGAAGGGACGGACGACGCTTTAAGCCAAAAAATGCAAACTGTTTGGAAATAAACAAGAATGGAAGTCATTTTGGCAATCGAGCTAATTCCTTTAGCCCACATTTCATGTCGGCCCAAAGGGTTGCTCCTCCGCTCTGCCGGGAAATCCGCCTCGAGCGTCGACCGCTTAAGCGATTAAGGAGCTACAGCCATGCGACTGACAGGCATTAAAGCGTTAACGTCCATGTTGTCAGTCCCGAGCTCTGAGTTCTGAGTCTGAATCTGAGTTCTGAGTCCTGAGAAATGACGTAACATTCCTCACTCCGCCCACGGTCTCGTGCTCGTCCTCGTGCTCGTCCTCACCGACAATTTAATGGCATCCTAGGGAGTAAATAACATTCTCGCTGCGAACTATGTAGACATACATAAATCCCACGAAAGAAACGAAACACACAATTTGACTTTGAGGCCACAGATTAAATTAGCTATATGCTCAGTGGCTGGAAGTGCACTACAAAAAGCTCAATGAAGCTACATTTTCAAAGCAATTACAATTCATTTTTTACCATAAATTGGTATCTATACGACTAACACTTCTGGGTAAAGAAATTACATAAATATTCTAAGAAATATGAAGCACCTAAAAAGCTTTTTAAATACTGAATTGAAAGATTTGGCAACTATTTTACGTTCGATTGTTAAACAGAAATAAAAACTTAATTGACTTGGTATATTTTTATTGATATTGGTTTAGCAAATAATTTCGATTATCGTTTTGCAACAATAATCATTAAAATGTGCGATAAACAAGCCATAAAAATTCTGCTCTACTTTAATTTAAAACTTGACCCAATTCCAGCAATGACAGTTTGCCATAAACAGA